AGTGTTCATGTTCTACTGTGTCTTGGGCTTTATGGGCTTCCTTGCCATTGTCAGTTTCATAGTGGCTTTCCTAGCAAGAAAATTGCCTAACACTTTCAATGAAGCCAAGCATATTACCTTCAGCATGTTGATCTTTTGCTGTGTCTGGGTGTCCTTTGTTCCCACATATCTGAGCACAAAAGGGAAATATATGGTTGCTGTGGAGATCTTCTCCATTATAGCCTCCAGTGCTGCATTGCTGATTTGTATCTTTTCCCCTAAATGCTTTATCATTCTTTTGAGACCTGATCTGAACAAGAAAAAGCAGCTAACAAGGAGAAAGCAATAGAAGAGTATGGATGACCCTTTAATTATTTTAATCATTTATAAACCTATACCCATGCACCTGAAGAAAGCCCTACTAAACTCTGGACTCTCTGCTTCAGTCAGTATTGCATCCTTATAACAAGTACTGCATTCCCCTCCAGTAGTTGCCAAGTACAACACAAAGTGCTGATACTAACCTATAAGGTCCTACATGGCTTGTATCCAGGGTATCTTTTGCACTGCCTCCTTCTTGGGGATTTGGGACAGCTTGTCTGTTCTGTACCAGAGGGAATATTAAAGGTCCCCTTCACCCAGAATAAGAAGAGGGAAGAAGTGGAGGTTGTGTTCCTCAAACAAGATCCTCTAGGGCCTGGCCCCCACACTGGTCATTTTCAGGAGTGGACCCAGTGTTTGGTTGTTTTGACAAACCTTTTAAATGTAACATCTTATTTATTTATTTATTTATTAAATTTGTATGCCACCCATCTCCCCCGGAGGTGACTAATGTTGGTTCTCCACTTTACCTGGTTTTCTGCTAATTTTTTAAAAAATTAATTGCATTGTGGTTTGAATCAGGCTTGTATTATATTCTATTAATATACAGTATTTTAACCATCTATGGTTTTTAGAATTTAGTAGTTACTGTCTCTGCTCAGGGGCTCAATTCTATAGGCATTTAATAACAAACTGGTATCATAACAAGAGTGGTTATTATTATGATTATTAATATTATTCATAGTACTATTAGTTAAAGTAGAATGGAGGTCAATCAGTAATCTGAAACTTCATGAAGGAGTTGATGAACTGAATTGTTTGGGGACCCCTGATGTAGCTCCTCTGCTCTGGCTGAGTCTCTTGAAGCTGTTCCTGGTTTCCAAGGAGGCTCTGGGTGATCACTTGGAATCAGAATGCAGAAGTCCATTTTGGTTGATTCCTGAGCCTTCTATCCTAGATCAGAGGGTCTTCCAAATGGGCTTCACTAAATCTTCCCCAAATAGTATGGCATAGCATGATAGAAAACTCACTTAAAGAAACACCAACAGCTGGAGATGATCCAACAATCATTTCATTAAATCTTAGGCTAGCAAGTTACACTGTGTCACTGGCCTCTTGTACCCAAAATGTTCAAGAGGAAGAGATCCCAAATTGCATTTCTCTTATAGGTAATTCTCAGTTAATCCCCTTAATTGGGACTGGGAACTCCATCACTAAGCAACCTGATCATAAAGTGAAAAATCATGTGACCTCACCAACTCACAACAGCAGTTCCTGCATTTCTGTTGTGGTCATTAAGCAAATCATGTGTGGTTGTTAAGCACATCATCATGTGACAATCTGAGCATGAATATGCAGTAATAGGAGACTCCAATAGAGAGAGGATTGCTTTACAATTGATAAGGACACAAAATAACTCTAAGGGAGACCCTGATATTATTAATGGTGGAAAAATATTACACACACATTCTTTGGAATGCAATACAGCAGCTTAAATTGATGAAAAGTATCAAGCCTCTAACAAACTGACTCTCTACTTTACAACGGAAGGAAGGAGAGATGATCAAGGACAGTAATGCACATTCTTGAATGTACTGCCTCTGCTCAGGGGCTCAATTCTATAGGCATTTCATAACAAACTGGTATCCTAACAAGAGCTTCACACTTAAAAAAGTCATCAGAGAAATCTAACTAAAACATATGTGCAATGTCATATAAGATATGTATTATAAAATAGAGTAATGAAGTCAAGCTAAATTCTTAATCCATCACTGTGAACATTCACTCCCCTTTCCAGCTTTTCCATCAAAAATGTTTGATAAACAATATTTTGCACTCATCAGTGACCAGATGTTGGACTTCAATGAACAAGGCATGTACAGTGGAGATTGTAGCTGTGTACATTGATGATAAACAAAGTGTTAATGGGGAAGGCTATAACTTGGGCATGAAACATAGGTAGCACCCTCAAGTAGAAGCCCTGGAAGCATTGCAGGATATCAATTAATATGAAAGGAAAGGAAAAAAATCAAACTCTTATGCCTGTTTTATGAAAAAATAGATCTGTTATTTAAACACAATCTAGAAAAAAATAAGATTACCCTTTCTGGTAGTAATTGATAATGTTACTGGGGCATGATCAGATATAGCAATATTACCTATATTATTTTTTATTACTGTGATTGATTGATTAAGTGCCATCAAGGTGGTATCGACTGTTAGCAACCACATAAGCAGATTGTCTTGGGGAATATCTGTTCCCAGCATGGTCCTTCAGGTCTTCCATCTGAATATCTTTTTCAAGACATTTATGGCTACTGTACTCAGTGCTAGTCTGAAGCGTATTTCTTCATTGCTGGTTTTTTTATGGTTAATGGTCAATCTTAAAAGGCAGAAGATATCTCCTACTTCAACATCTTCACTGTCAGTTCTAAGGTTGGTTGTTTTACCTGTTCTCATTAGTTTGGTCTTTTTTATATTTTATTTTAGTCCCATTTCTTCACTGTACTCCTTGACATTCATATATTTAATTATGTTTATCTTTGTAAGACAATATTTTTTAAAAATGCTTCAGGATGGATATCAGTCAAACGTGAGAAAATAGTGGAAGAAGCCCATCATTAAGTCCCCTCACAGAATTTACTCATATAGTGAGATTGAGAGCCAAACAGTACTGTCTGCAGGCAGCCAAGAATATGTGAAGATGATAAGGTGCATGCAGTGTCCACATGAGAGGAATCCTTCCCTTATGTACTTCATTATGATGTCATAATGCATATCATATGTGTAACATGAATGAACATCTCCGATAGACAAAAATTGCAGAAAATACAAACATGCATACCCCAAGGAGGAATTAAACAAACAAAAAATCTCTTTTTAATTTTTTAACAATAACTTCATTAATTTTTTAGAAGAACAATAAAAACTAACCAAAACTAATATTAAGAATAAAAAAATGAATAAAAAGAAAGAAAAAAGATTGAAAAAAGAAAGATAATAAAAAACAAAATGCAGAAAAGGAAAACAACAACAACAAAAAATGATTTGACTTCCGATCCACCCCACCACAGATATAAGTAACAATATACATCAAACTCTTGCTCTAAATTTACTACATAGCTTCCATTATTTCTGTTAAGCCATATTATTTCTAATAATCAAACCTATACAACATAATTTCATTTTTCTAAATCCCACAAAAAGTCCCCCCCACCAAAAAAGAAAATTTCCAACTAAAATTAACCAATGTCTTATCTCAAATCAAAACTGTCACTTTCGCCATTTCAGCCAACTCCATCAACCTCACAAACCATTGTTTCACTATAGATAATATCTGTCCTTTCCACCTCTATGCATTTAAAAACCTTGCTGCTGTTATCATATTTAAAAAATAAAATTATAAATAATGTCATATCCTTCCACCTTTATGCATATAAAAACCTTACTACTATTGTCATACATAAGAACAAAAATTCCATAGT